TTATTATTAAACACTCCGTATTATCTACAATTATGTATGGAATATTATTTATAAATAAAAATGTTTGAAATGTTTTAAATTATCACGATTACCAAATCAATACTTTAGTCCAAAAGGGGCTGCAGACCTGGATGGATTAGGGTGTTACAAAGTCATATTGTCATCATGTATGTTTCATGTCACGTTAACATTCAATGTGGTTGTTATTCATTTCGTTATGTGTAACAATATCCCATCAAGTGCAAATTAATCAGTTAGCAAACATGTGGTTTTCCCTACGTTAAGTACAGGTATTTATATGTGTATAACCATATGGGTTATCACTTCATGTTCTTTTGTTAGATTCACTCCTCAGCTTTTGCTGAGCGTGTAGTTGTTTTTGCTACACGCAGGTAGACATGACGGTACAGGTGCTAACCCTAGAGGACAGTGATGGTGGGAAGATGGGCGGCGCATGGACAAGTTCAATAATTAAATACATTTAATTAATTAATCATTTGGGCATGAACCCACCATATGTCGTTTTATTTATTTTGGACTTGTCAATTTACTTCCGCTTTTACTCTGCATTTAAATCACACATGTTTTGAAATTAATTCCCTAGCATTTATTTCACCAATTAAACACAACCGTTTCCATAATAAATAGTCATTAATGCATTTTCCTCTACGGACGGTTCTCGGACCGCCCATGTAACCCTATTGGTCCGTTGAGTCGCGGTGAACTGGGTCCACGGAAGGCGGGTGTTACACGGAACAGGGTTCTCGGACCGCCCATTTAATAAAATGTTGTTTTAATTCATGTTTGCATAGTATGAGTTAGGGTCCGGATCTCTAGGTCGGACTAGTTTGGTTGTATACTTTGAATATTAAATTAATGCTGGAATGGTTAGTCTATTGTTCTTGCCTTATTTGGTTAATTAATGTCGAAAGATTTAATTAGCTATTTATTGAGAAAATATTGTATGCCAAAGGGCTATGATATTCAAGTGCAACAGATTAAGTACAAATCTAGAAATAGATGAGTAATAATAGAAATATTATTATTCCAATTGTTAATTTAATATGATAAAATAGATCCAAATGATGTCCTGACCCTAGGTCCAGATCTACACTTATACTATGTGAAATTTATTTATTATTTTTACTCCGCTCTTTTTTTATTCGTTCCGAGAAGACTTTCATAAACCACTCTTAGTCTTCACCTAGTTAGAGTAATTAGACTAATTCCCTTCGTCCACTCCTCGAGAGTGTAACGCCCCAAAATATACCTTAAAATTTATTAAATCAAATATTCAATTAAACAAAATTTGTTTTGATTAAAATAAATTTTTGTTGGGCTTTGGACCGAAATAAAATATATATTGATATCCAATAAACATAATTGGGATAAATCTCATAGAGATAAATCCAACATGTTGACTTATTGTGTGATCTTGATTGGGAAACTTAGCACTGACCCAAATCAAGAATAAATGGAGAAATTATTTATTATGTGAACTTTAAAATGATTTATTGATATAAATCATGAGAACAAATGATATGAATTAATTATGAGAACCTTTTTGAATAAAGGTCAATTGAATCAATTTTGACTCTGTCAAAGTCAACCACCCAAAAAGATGCTGTCAGAAAAAGTATTTCAAATAAATATAAAAACTATATCGTTGAATAGAACATGACTGTCTGATCGCAACGGTGCAAACGGAATTTAATTCGGATAAAGTTGGACCAAAAAGTGTTCCCCGACTGGGACCGAAATTAGTCCAATTGGGAAGGAATCGCCGTCTGCTCGACTAGCCGCTCAAACAGAGAAGGTGACGCAGGAACCATTGGCCTCTTCCCCATTCTTCTCCTATATAATGGAACCCAACCATTCTCATTTCTCCACCAAACTGCATAAACTAAATGGCATTAGAATCTTGAGAGTGAGGAGATCATTCTACAATAGTTAGTTGTCGCCGAGGTTGCCGGAGCAAGCCGTGGTGTTCGCCGAAAGTTTCCCCGTTTTTCTACCAGAATCATCGTTTCACTTCGAGGTAAGCCCGTTGATATATCTAATGACTAGAATGTTCATATTTGGTTGAGTTTTGTGTTGGACATGTTTGAAGGACTAAGAATCATAAACCTTGAAATTGATGTTAAAACTACAAAATAATGTTGCCAAAATGATCTATGAACATTAGAAAACATTTGTATATAGTTTAATTGAAGTTTCGTGACTAAAAATGGAATTTCCGAAACTTGGCTTGAGGTTGAAGGCGACACTGTTCAAAGTTACGCACAGTACGGTACCACCCTACCGCTCGAACGGTACCTAGGTACCGTCGGCCTGGTAGGCTTGTAACACCCTAATCTGTCCAGGTCTGCAGCCCCTTTCAGACTAAAGTATTAACTTGGTAATCGTAAAAATTTAAAACATTTCAAACACGTTTATTTATGACAATAATATTTTTCATAATATAAACAGTACGGAGTTTTCAATATTGCGGAAGCTTAACAATCATAATCACAAACATAATTTATTTATGTTCTTTAATTCAAAACCATCACATCCATTCCGACAATCTCGCCTCCGTCTGCCTCCAGGATCACGTCACTTCATTAACCTGCGTGTAGCAAATAAAACATACTACACGCTCAGCGTTGAAGCTGAGTAAGCATAT